AGTTCATGAATTCCCAGCAAATCAAATTACCTTCAGTGAGCACGGCACTGAGACGATCTTGAAAATACAAAGTGTGCCCTGGCCGGTTTGGCTCAACGGTTAGAGCATCGGCCTGCGGTCCGGAGAGACCCGGGTTCGGTTCCTGCTAAGGGCACGTACCTCGGTTGCAGTTTGTCCCCGGCCCTGGTCGGTTGTGCGGGTGGCAACCACTCGATGTGTTCCTTTCACATCGATGTTTCTCTCTCTCTCTCTGTTCCTCTCTCTCCCTCCCACTCTACCGGAACAAAAAATGGAAAAATGTCCTCTGGTGAGGATAAAAAAAAAAAAAGAAAATACAAAGTGTTATTAAGTCTAAGTCACTCTGGCCCTGCCTCATGATAAAGGACCAAACTAGTTTTCAGACTCCTACTCTCCTATGCCCAAGCCACTACTAGCTCACGTCCTCATTTTTAAGTTCTAGTTTGTTTTACGTCATTGTACAATCTCTTAAAACCTTGCTAATGCTGCACTGCTTTAAGTCAGTGAGTCACCAATACGCGCTCAGAGTAAAGAAAGGATCACATTCTGCACCATCGCAGAACTTATAATCAAGCTGAGGAAATAAACGTATACAAATGAAATAATAATATCCCCCCAGATAGAGAATTCTGTAAGCAAAATTCATTCATGTCTCTTTTCCCATTTACTCCTTATAACTACCTTGTGAGGTAAGTCAGGCATCCCGTCCCTTTTTTTACAGCTTTGACTGAGACGCAGAGTGACCAGCCCGCAGCTCACAACAAATATGTCCTAGAGAGGCGTAAGGCCCAGATCACCCTACAACTGGCACAGTGCTCAAGAACACACATAAAGCAACAAAAGAAAAATAATTTAAATATGTTCATGTGTATGTGTGTACATAAGTGAAGATGAAATATGGTGAAAATATTCTTTAGGATTGTTTGGGAATAATGTAGGAAGGCTTCCTGCAATAAGTATGTTCCAGAAAGTTGGATGTTATATAACAGAAGAGGACATCTACATGAACTAACTAAAAAGAAGGCCAAAAATCCATAAACTCTTATCAGTGAAGAAACTGGTAGACACATAGACAACACTGAATAAATACTGAAATTAAATAAAACAATAATACAATAACTAAAATAGAAAGTTAAAGACAATGTGGAACCAAAGTACAAGACAATAATAATTTGAAAGATGAGAGGGTGAACAGAGGTCTTTGAATTACTTAAGAGAAGAGAGTAAAGATACCAATAAGTCAAATATTGATGCTAACATACCGAACCTGATGTTAAGAGTGATCAGTTAGAAAAACTTTCAAGCCTGTGGGGGGACCCAGAAGATTAAAGAAAACTTTAACCAATCCAAAAGATAGCAGAGAAGAAGAAAACTAAAATCAGAAGCAGAGAGAAAGGCAAAGAAAAGGCATTTTTAAATAGACAATTAAATGCTCTATAAGTAAATCAAAGAGTAATGAATCTTAATAAATATACATAAATTAAACTTGCCCATTAGCGAGATGTTCAAAATCTATAAAAATACAGCTACAGTCTAATAATCTAGAATGATAAAAAGTTAAAGGATAAAAATATACATACCAAATTAAATTTAGCTTTAATAGTATCGAGACAATAGACCTCTAGCAAAAAAGCATTATTGGGTTAAAAAAAAAAAAAAAGTTAGAAAATAATATTGAGAATACCTCCCAGAAAGTATAGCAAAAAGATAAAATATTAGGAAATAGGAAAGGGGAAAAAAATAACGAAGTTAAAGGACTAGTCCAGTAGGTACAATATCCAAATAAAAGTAGCGCTGGCCAGCAAAAGAACAGAGAAAGGGGGGGGGGGGGAAGGTGAAGAACATAAGGGGAAAATCAAGACATGCTCTTTCCAGATTGTAAAAGCCGCATGCTTTTGCCCAGAAAACTAATGAAAATAGACCCGCACTAAGGCACAGCATGAGTAAGTTTCAGAACTCTGGGACATAGACGATACATGAAACTTCCAGAAAGAGAAGACAGGTCACATGTGAAGGATCGGAAATCATAATGGCAAGTTGCTTAACAGAATTATTGGACGGTAGTCTGCAGTGGCATTATGACTTTCAAAATCTGAGGAGAAATTATCTCCAGCCTAGAATATTGTAGCTAGGCAAACTGTCAATGTGGTGGGAAGGTAGAAAGAAGAGATATTTGTTTAAGAAAATGATATTGATAGAATATTGTTTTCATTAATATATTAAGGAGAGATTTAGACAATTGATAGATTAGTGATAAGCAAATGATAAAACCAGACAGTTATCAATTCTTGGAAAAATGGAAAGTGCATGAAATCATAGCGTTATAGCTGAAATTCAGCTATAAATAGCATATTTGTAGTCATAATGATATAAACACCTAATATTTAGGTGTTGGAAATAGTGAATTTATATAGTGAGGGCAGGGGAGAAATTCCATAGTGAGAAGTCGAAGGAAAGACCTGAAACTGAAAAGCCAAGAGATAGGTACATAATCTTATTGTTTGGTAACATGGAAGCAAGTAATAAAAGAATCCCCCAAACAATTTGGAAGTGGCTACCTCTAGCTTCTGCTTTTATAAAACCAGATATTGCCAACTATTCTTCAAAGAGATTCTAGCAATTTATACTCCTATACGCCTTCACTTCATCATTTCAGGTTCCCTAGAAGTGATGCCAAGCCAGGGTTAGATGTGCACAAATTTTACTGAAATAAATGCCTGGGTAGGGAATGGGGAGGAGCCTTCAGACCACAGGCAGTTCCAACACCTGTAAGGAGGGAAGGAAGGATTGGGTAGGAAGGGCCTCAGGCCACACTATGAAAATGGAGAGTCGAGAGCAAAAGTTGCTCAACAGGGGAGTTCTACATCCATCAGGAATAGATGAATTATAGTATTACCACCATTCTTAGTCATTGAGGAAATTCTTTGCCTTATGGAAATAGGGCTGCAGCGTGTAAACCACAGCGGGTCGGAAAATGCAGCAGCTGCCAGTCAATGGGTTCAGGGTGTGTCGGTAAATGATTAACAACTGGTTCTACAGCAAGTTTTTAAAAAAGTCTTTGTTTGTAGCATTTGCAGCTTTCTGGGTGTAAATAGTCCATTATCGGCAGTTTCCAGCAACCACTGTGACAGTGTGATGACTCACTGAAGGCTGAGTGTGAAAGAGCTGCTAACAATTGGCTTTCCCAAGCCAGGAGCCCTTCCAGGAAGACACTAACTACTCCACGTGTCAGGTGTTCCTGCAGGGAGATCTGAGCAGGGCACCTCCTCAGCCACCGCACTCACCAACCTAGTGTGTTAACAAAGCTGTGATCTTAACAGTGTGGTAACTAAATAGTATGTTAGTGTCGTTTTCCTTTGTATTTTCTTTACTATCCCACCAAATGCATTTATTATTATGCAATCTATACATTTTCTTTTCTATGAATTGAGGCAATACTTTGATTATTTTTATTAAAATCTTTATGCCTATATTCTAAATAACTGAAATCTTAATGTATTAATCTTAATAAATTAATCCATTTAGTAAGTTAAATATAAATACTGCTTATTATCTCCTTATCACATGATTAACATTTTCAAAATCAACTTCTTTCAACCCTTTCCGCAGGGTAAATAGGAAAGAAATAAATTTACCTTTAATAGCTTGATGTAGGTAAACTCCCTGATTAGAAAACAAATTACTATAATTCCTTTTTTTCCTATAATATTTAAAGTAACAATTACATGTACAAAATCAAAATATAATGTCTACATGTAACTTTCAGACACATAGTTTTTTAAAATATACTTAAAGTTGACTGAATGTAGAAAATTTATGGGAAATAGTGACTGAAGTCGAGATCTACCTCCCAACACACATAGTATAACAAAAACAGCAACAATAATGTAGTGGTGAACCTTCCATCTGAACAGTCTACAAGGACAGATAGAATCTTTAGGAAATTGAGCTGGTAATATTGTCATTATGAACACATTTTAATAACAGATATATTCTATATTGGCTCATTTATATATTATTAGTTGAGATTACTGGTTGCATCCTATTAGCTTGGTGTAGCAAGATAGTTGAAATTATCCACTATTAAATTAGAGGCTAAGAAGCTCTGAATGAAGTTGTCTTTTAAGATATTATACATGGCCCTGGCCGGTTGGCTCAGTAGTTAGAGCATCAGCCTGTGGTCCAGAGAGACCCGGGTTCGGTTCCTGCTAAGGGCATGTACCTCGGTTGCAGTTTGTCCCCAGCCCTGGTTGGGTCATGTGGGTGGCAACCACTCGATGTGTCCCTTTCACATCGATGTCTCTCTCTTTCTCGCTTCCTCCCACTCTATCTGAACAAAAAAAATGGAAAAATGTCCTCGGGTGAAGAAAAACAAAAAAAAGAAGATATTATATATGTTTTAAGTATTTTTGTTGTACAGATAACAGTGAATTAGCAGAACCTTCAATTAGATTAGATATCAGAAGACATCCAAAACAGTCTCCAACTACAAATTTACTTAGACAACTTTACAGAAAAGCTATAAAGAAATCAAAAAGGTAAAAGTTCAAGAATTGCTTTTCCATAAAATTGTTCTTATCCTTATATTAATCCAATCACTGCTAACATATATATCTAATATAAATGGTAGTAAAAGATCTTTAGATGCATGGATTTTTTAAATGCTAGAGTTTTCCAAAGTAAACACATCTATTGAATTATCTTTCAACCAGCTATCTAGTTCATAAATTGTATTTGATTCCAACATTGCTGCTTTTCTTCTGCTCCACCTCCTCCAATCGCAGCCTCCAATTCTTCCAACCACAACCTCCAACCTCAGCCATTATCCTCGTAATTAGTATTTTCAACCAGAAATCAAGTGAGGAAAGCTAATAAAAATTCATTGGTGGCTAAAAATAAGTTTGGATAATCTGCAAATTCCTTTTATCCCAATTTTCTCAAAACTGATCCACAGTGCTCAAAAAAAAAAAAAAGACACTTACCTCATCGACATTTTCAAAGGCATTGATGATGTCGTAAGGTAAACAAGACAACAGATCGATCACAAACCAAGTTTTCAGATAGTTCATCCTTATCAGCTTGGGGTCAGAAATAACCTCTCCACCAGGGCCCACAAAGGTCGTGTGAAAATTTAAAACAATGTCAACCAGAAAAATAACATCCACCACACTGTCCAGCACCAACCAGGCTATGTTGTTCTGCTTCGTTTTGAAGGAAACGTTGTAAGGAACCATAATGGCGGTGTAGAAGGTAAGAATTAAAATCACCCAATCCCAAGTAGTTTTAAAAGCACAATAGTGTAAAATGATGTGTGGTGGCGTCTTTGGCGCTTCTTGCTTATACTGAGGAAGGATATCTGATCCCAGCTGAAGAACCTAAAAGAGACAAAATGCATATATTAGTAACATGGACATCTCTGCACAGCTAGTAATGAATTCAAACTCACTGGCAGTCAAACCATAGCCCATTTTCATGACTTCTGATTTCAAGGCCAGTCATGCCATGTATTTCATTTCCCTCTTCTCCTGAGTTTTACCAGTTTGTTCAAAGGAAGTCACTCCAAGTTCAATCTCTCTACCAAAGTTGATCTGACTACTGTGCCGCCCGGCTTTTTCTCCAGTGGCCAACTATTGATTCACAAACTGGGGCAAGAAGAGACCTAATAAGGCCGCAGACCACTCCAGGTGGTAGTTGAGAGTTTTAATAAGCAAGGGAACGTTCATACAAGGCTTGTCTTGGGTGACTGCAAGGCTGGTAGATCTCTACACACACATACCAAAATCTTAAAAGTTTACGTGCAGGCCTTAACTGGGTTCAGTCATATATGCTGCATTGATGGTCTTAACACAGAGCTCTCTCAAGGCTACATCCTTGGAAATGGCTCACACTGTGGGAAGGATGGACAGCACATACATTTCAAGGACAGGATAAAGGGACCAATTGCCCAGGTCCAGCTTGAAGGTCAACCAGTGGTCACTTCCTTTCGAAGACCTCCTCCAACACCAACAGTGACCCATGGCACTGCTGGACATCCAATTCCGGGAGTCTGGGAGTGCTTCTGAGCACTCGCTGGGAAAGCATGCCTAAAACCACACGTCTCTCACTACCCGTTCAACAGTCATTTGGGTGACTCGCTGTTATTCATTCTTTACATGTCTTGAGCACCTCGGGGAACATAACTTTAATTCTGATGGCCTCAGTGAACCCTAGGTCTCCACTGTCAGCGATATTCTTGAGTGGGACTCAGCAAGGGTCCTAATGACTGGCACAGCAATGTCAAGGTTAAAAATGTTATAGCCTGACTTTTCCTTTTCTCCCTTTAGTCAGGACTTAAAGAATATTGTGCTTCATGTCCTATCCAAATGCAATTTTCCTTTAGGGAAAAAAAGCTAAATATTTAAGTTTGCTTCTCCAACCTTTTCGACTTATAAATGGAAAATTTTCAGTGCAAGGGTATACAAACCTTGACCTACTTTGATTAGGTCTAAGTAAAGAAACGAAGAAAAAACAGAGGACAGAGCAAGAGTGGAGGTCTGGGCAGCCCTGGGCACGGTAACAGAAATAGATTTAGCATTGTCTTCCAGAAGCTGGAACTTGGAAACGGTGAAAAGGAGTTAAAGAAGCAGGCCAGAGCTCTGTTCCACGCCATTGGTGAAGTTCGGCTGAGTAAACCTATGTAGTAAGGAGTTTGTAAATGGAACTTTGACAAATAATGTTTCCAAAAGTTTTACCATCTTATGCATCCAATTACTCAGTGTCTTTAGGACAAATGGGACCCAGTAGATAGGACTCAAAAAGTTCAAATCATTTGAATATAAGAATAGATACAAACAAAAAGACCTGTTAGCACGTAGCTCATATGTCACAAGGCAAAATCAGGAGCATTTTTTAAACTTGAGAGAGGGTTATCATAAAGTTTCTCTCACACATAGAACTTAGATAACAAAAACTAAGTATATAGTACCCATTATTACTATTTTGAAATGAAAAACATCATTGGTATTCTCTTAGTTGTCTACTATATTATTTCAACTTTGGGAGTTATAAAAACTATTTATTAAAATCTGTATGTATTTATCTTCATTATCAGTGCCCAGCCATATTTTTCCCATAAGATCTTAAATTACTTAGCAGGAAACTATCCTACCATAAATCTAAGTTTCATGTTGGGATGGACCTTTATATATACAGAATCATACACAACCATGGCTTCACTTTCACTTTTCAACAACTGGTCTATCCATCCCAACTTCACTGTGTTGAACATGAAAATTTCCTTTATAACCAATGCTTATACCTTACCACTTATATTTACACAATCTATAGTTTGAGCACAAAGGATTTAGACTTAGAAAGTAAACTCAGTGCCAAGGTACATTACAACCTAGACATTTTTGCTTTCCTGGACCTTTTATTCCATAAAAAAAATAATAAAATAAAATAAAAATTACATTTTACAGCTGAATTCTTATAAAACTAAATTAATTAATATTATATATTCCATTTTTAACCTAAAAGTTCATTTCTTCCTTCCACTGTTAATAGAAATTCAAGCATCTCATAGATCCCTAAAAATGCTGTGGGCCCTATATACTGTGCTAACAGACAAGTCCATCCTGCTCCATACCCAGGAATTATGTAAGGCAGCCTCCTACATTATGAAAATGGGATCATTCCTGAGTTCAGTATTTCTTAAACCTGGCGACAAACTGGAATAATCTGAAGAGTTTTAAAAACACAGTATACTCATACCTAGACCCCACCGCAGAAAATAATTAAATTACTCTTGTGTGGGTTTTCAGAGAATCTATACTTTCAAAAACCTTTCCAGGTGATTATAATGTACAGTCCAAGGTAAAACCATTATCTTCTCTTTCTTTAGACATTCATAACCCCACTCTTCAGACAGTGACTTGCATACCTAAAGTGACCCCAAAATGCTACAAGAGGAAGAGCAGAAAGAGGAAAAGGAGAATGCCAACAACACAAGGAACACATGCTAAGTTTTTATCTTTCTCTTGTCCAGAGCACTACTTTAATTAGAGCTCCCTTACTGGGGCTTATTTATAAACCAGTTCAGTAACAACTCTTCATTTTCATTTGTACTCCCATAAGCAATAAGCCTTTGGTGGCAAGGAGATAAAATAATGTTTTCTGATGTATTTTTGTACCAATACAAACACATTCTTTCTCTGTAAATATCTGAGAGTATTCATGCTTATAGAGTCAGGACCATGGACAGTAGTGAGTTTTTACCTCTACCCAGTATAAACTTGAGAAACTAAAGTTAATCCACAGATGTCAGAGCATATAAAAAATTGATAAAATGCCTACACAGAGACCAGGATCTTTGAAACTGTGGATAAACTCCAAATGTAGGGGTCCCAGTGGAGTTGAGATAAAAGGTATATGTCTTCGAAAAAGTAAAACAGCCTGAAATTCAATGACAAATCCAAATATTTGGGTTGAGCAAGTTATATGACTGTGAGAACAACTAGAAAGACAATATCCTTGTGCCAACATGGTGTTTGTTCTGGGCCAGTCTTTGGAGATCTAAGAGCACCCACTGACAAGATGTATTGATTGAAAACCTTATTATTTGTTATTTCTGCATGTTCTCCGAAATCTAGACTAAGACCTGACAGAAAGTAGTTTTGTTTCTGAATCAGGTTTATGAATTAGGGATGACTGCTGAAGAAACTAACAATAATCAAAAAAGCGAAGCAAAAAAAACTCAGATGAGAAGAAACAGGAATGAAAAGTCCTTCAAAAATAAAAGTAAAAATGATGAGCTGTCAAGGAAAAAGAACGTTTCCTCTTGATATAGAGGCATAAAAAACAGTAATGAGTGATTTGGGTGTTAAGGTACACAAACTTCCTCTTTATGGTCCCTTTTCTCTTGTTCTTGCCCAATTGTGTTAACAGGAGAAAAAAAAAAAAAGAGCCCAGCTGGTGTGGCTCAGTGGATTGAGCACTGTCCCATGCACTGAGAGGTCACAGGTTTGATTCTGGGTCAGGGCACATGCCCAGGTTGTGGGCTTGATCCCCAGTAGGGGGCATGCAGGAAGCAGCTGATTGATGCTTCTCTCATGCATCAATGTTTCTATCTCCCTCTCCCTTCCTCTCTCTAAAAAATCAATAAAAACGTTTTTAAAAGAAGAAGAAGAAAGGAAAGCTCTAAATAGGGTGTAATAAATACCCAGAAAGAATCATGACTATAAAAGTCAACAGTCACAGAAAAAAGCTCCTACACTTCAGCTTGATTTGTAGAAAGAAATAGACAACTCAAGGCAGAAAAGAAAGTAACTTCAAAACTAAGTAGTACTTAATAACAATTACTATTCAAAAAACAAGTTGTATCTAACCGTCTACTTTAAATCTTGTGCCAATTGCATATCATCTTTTTTAGATGTTGTGATTATGATTATTATTATTATTATTAGTTAATATTTATTTATGTTAATGTCTTGTTTGGGCTTTTAAAAATATGTCTTTTCATAAAAGTATTACTCTCTCCCCAAGGCCTGCAATTCAAACTCAGATATCCATCAGAGGTCTGACCCATAAATCTCCACTCAGATTTCCTTTTAGGAACTTCCAACTTAATATGTGCAAAATGGAACTCATTATCATTGCCTCCAAACCTTCTCTTCCTCCTCTTATATTTGCCATTCTATTAACCAACAGCACTCACTATCTACCCAGTTGTTCACAATAAAAACACAGAGTTGTCTTGGACTGATCCCCTTATTTCACATTCAATTCGAATCTATCAACAAACATGTTGACTCTGATCTTGCTGTGTCTGCAAATGCCCACTTCTGCTTCTGGTTCCCTTGACTAACACCATGGTCATCCTAGCTGAATGGCTACTAGTAACTCTTAACTGGTTTCCCTATCTACCCATTCAGAACAGAGCCACTAAGGGTTCTTAACCATTTTGGGGCTGTGGCTCTCTTTTGACAATCTGGTGAAATCGATGGACTTCTCCTTAGAATAACATTTTTAAATTAATACAATAAAAACATGGGATTACAAAGGAAACCATTGGGACCAATTTCCCTTCAAGAGGTTTCTCTGAAGCACAAATGCAATCATGGCACTTGCCTGGCACGTGGAACACCAACCACCCATTTCACTGCACACCACCTAACCGTTCCCTCCCCATTTGACTTCACCCACACTGAAGTCGCACTCAGAATCATCACACTATCTCATCTCTGGGCCTTTGCATAGGCTGGCCTCCCTGTAAGAAATAACCTGCCTCTTATATTTTTCCTTCCAAATGTACTCAGCCGAGGTACCAGCTCACTCAGGTAGCCCTCTTCAGAGGCCACGACTAGGTAAATGCTCCCGCTTCCCCTGTCATAATATTGACCACATTCTGTTACTGGATTTCTGTGCTAGATATTTAGCTCCTGGATGATAGAGCCCATTGCTGATCTCATACCTACATTCTTCGCAGAGTACCAAGGGCAGAGCAAACCCTCCATCTGTGTGTGCTGATACATAAATGGATGAATGCGTGAACTCCCTATCTCCTTGCTCAAAGGACACCTCCCACTCTATGGATCTTAGCCTGGGATGTCATGAACTACTTTCCAATTTCAAAGGTAGGAGGGAATAAAAAGAAATAACTGAAATTTCTATAACTCTATAAGAAAAAACGTAAATTATCAGGTAGCAGTTTCAAAAGAATAGCCAAAAACATCTATATTGAATTGTTTGGGGGGGGGGTGTACCACAACCATCACCACCTTGGAAAGCAAAGTTAGTCTCCCACTTACTTCAGCTAATCTTGAATGTTTGTGGACCACCTCTGTTTTATTCATTGGCGTGAGCTGCTGCAAAACACTTCGGCTATTTGTCAAAGCCCGTGTCAATCGGGCAAATTTTGTCCAACCTTAAAAATAAGAAGAGAACTCTCAATTTTTCACACATAATTGACATTCTTTATAATATTCAAATTATCTTAGAAATAGTATAATAGCCAGAACTAATGACAAGTATCAATCAAAAGTATCTTACTTCTCTATGGACACCATCACATATTTCAAGTGTGGCTGTAAAATAATAAGAAATTTTTATGTGTGACCTTTCTGTTTTGCTCATATTTATTTTATAGTCTTGGTAGCCAAAGTGGCTAGCTGTCTACAAAATTCTGTGCTCCTCCTTGCTTTATAGAATTGTTTTTTCTTTGTTGGGTAAAAGTGATAAGAATGTCTTCAGATGGTAGTAAATATATGTTGGCAAAAGATATATTAAGATACTTTCTTGTGATCATTTCTCTTTCTTACATCAACTGAATATTATAATTGCATTGAGTATTTTTAGAAACTCCCAAGTCAATCATATACTAACTGAAGTTTCACTTTCTAAGACAGGTGATGTACCCTTTAGTACATCAGAGTGGTGAAATAAAAGACAAGCCTAGTGTATAACAAAGTTCATCCAGAAAACATTTTGAAAAATATCTGAGGATTTATTGAAGGAACAAGTTCAATGACACATGGAATATTAAAAAGTACCAAATGGCACGTGTTCTCCCATTTCCTGGGTTTAGGGCTTTCCCGTAGTCCTCACTCGGTCCTAAACAGTCAGCATTTTTCTCAAGACCCTCTACCAGCCACCTCTCCTTATAGCAGATTACCTCTTCAAATAAGTTACAGAAAAAACAGAAGCCACAAGAAACATGATAGTTTCCAAGTTCATTTCCATCCCTCCACCTCTACACCCACCCGCATGGCACTGATTCTTGCCTGCACCTTTATCATCTCAGCAAATTAGACATTTGTTCTTTCCTGATCATGCATATGTTCTGTTCATGGACATGTAAGTGGTTTCTAGATTTTTCACTGTCACTAACAATGCCACGGTGAATCTCCTTAGTCCTATCCCTCTGTGTTCTTGGACACATCTGGAACTGCCTATTAGTTAATTTAATTCATTCGATCTGTCACCAACCCCCACTGTACAAACTTGGGAAAAGTCGAGCAGCCACCCTGTCTAGGTCAGAGGGAAAAACACACATCAGCAGTTCTAACTTCTCCCAGTGATACATTTTCTGATCTCACCTTTACAGAAACCTAACTGCGTGACTGATTATTCAGCACAGTTTGCTGATGTTACTTAGATGTGGTCGATACAGGGTAATGTGAACAGATAGATGAATACGAAGCGCCTAATACTTGCTCTGTAAGTTGTTCATGGTATTATGAGAACATTTGTTCTCCTAAAAGCTCAGGATGCCAACTCCTTCTTAATAAAACATTAGTTTAGCTCTATTGGGTTGCAATTAACCTCTTTGTCATGGACTGTTTATTCTTAAAAATAAAAAGAAGTCACAGAGGCAGTTAAATCAATTTACTAGACTGCAACGCAAGATTTTAATCCATAAGAAAAAAAGCTTAGGTAAACAATTATACTCTTGGCCAAAGAGACTACATGATATAATTACTCATATTTCATCTGCTGTTTCCTTTCTAAAGAAAATCACTGGCTTCCCACAAGGGGACGGTTGCTATTTTTGCCATTATTTTCCTCCTACAGAAATTTTTTTTGTCTCAATTATTGGCACAAAGATGCCATAACTGTTTGGCACAGGACATTTCACACTGTAAGTGTTTTGGCAGTTTGGGAGTCTGTTTGAAAATACTATACAGTATAAATGGGCAGAGATTTGAGCCATCTCTTTTAGGATACATATGGCTAATCAACAGAATGGACTTCTTGGCTGTAATTTTTCCCCTTTGTATAATTATAAATGATGTACTGGGTACCACTGACTGATTATCTGAGCAACAGTTCCAACACCACAATACTAGGAGCAAAAGATAACAAAAACACATTGCCACCTTGTATTATTTTCAGTAAATTCTGTTGGTTCCAAACAGTACAATTCTGTCAGAATCAGAGTATTCTCGACTTTTTTGTCGGTGGTGGTGTTGAAAAGGAGAGCAGGGGGAAATAGAGAATGCCATTCAGGTGAAGACTTTGTAAGGAGATGTGGAGAACACCATCAAACCCAAACTATGAGTTCCCACTGGGAAGGACGAGGCAGCACAGTGCCATAGATAACATGGGGTTGGCAATCAGTCAGACTTGGCCTGTCAGGATCTTCAACAGTAAAATGGAGATAATAACAGTAATTTCCAGAATTACCGAAATGAGCAATAAAGGCTATAAAGTTCCTGACACATGTTAACTATTTCATCAAAACCGGTTTCCTTCCCCACTGGAGTAAAACAGTGGTTTTTGCTAGCATCCATCGCAGCCTAGATCAAAGGTACTGCTCCGTGCATCCATGCCTCTGGACCTATTTTGTTCATCAGTTTATTTTGTGTGTTAGATTCCACATATAAGTGATATCAATGTAATATCCGCCTTACATGCATGCTCAAGGACATAGACAATAGTGTGGTGAAGGCCTGGGGTGGGGCGGGTGCTGGGTGGAGGGAGGGGGAGATGGGGGGAATAGGGGGGTATCTTTATAATGTCAACAATAAAAAATAAACTTAAAAAATTATTTTTAAAAAGGTATTGCTGACATCATTCAGTGCCATTCATTTTAAAGGCAAAAATCAACCTAGAATGAAGTTCTGATGATCATAAATTTCATTTTGTGGAAGAGCTACACTCAAATCAGTTGGCTGCCATCACTTTATTGTTACTATCCCAGGTGCCATTCAGAAATAAAATTCAGAATTAGCCAGTTGACTCAAGTCTTTCAACCACCTGTCTGAGTTTCTTGGTAAAAATACCAACAGAAGTAGGAGGAGACTGATGTGAATTCCAACCAGTTTTGGCACATCCTCAAAGGACTTGGGCCCTTGCTCCAATCATTGGCCCCTTTTCACATTAAGAAGGTAAAATGTCCTTGCTCTAGGATTAAGAGTTACAGTCTGGCTTGCCAGTGTGTGGATTCACTTGTCTGTTCTGCATCCCCAAACACAATTTTCTATATCCTCTGCAGAACTTTAATTTCCTAAGTATTTCTTCAAAATTTTGCAAACACTTTCAACCTACTCTCTTGCAAGCCAAGCATCCTCAACTCCCTGATCTTTCTGATCCTTCTCTCTGATCCCTGAACTCCACGATTCTTTTCATCTTATTTACCTGATCAAATTCCAACTCAGGTTAAATTCAACACTTTACCTACTTCTACATCTGTACACCTTTGACTAAACATGGGTGGAGTAAAACAGAAAATCATGCTCACAGATACAGTGATACCTCGGTTCTCGAACATAATTCGTTCCAGGAGGATGGTCGAGAACCGAATTGTTCGAGAACCGAAACAATGAAACCCAATAGGAAAGCGGACTCCACAAAGCGTGACTCTCTCTCTGCACTCACACTGATGACGCAAGCAAGGCGCGCTGGGCCGAATGAACGCCATTCGGCTCAACTCGGAAGTTCGAGTTCCAAATATTTGTTCGGATTCCGAGACAAAAGTTTCTCGAATCCTGATTTGGTCGAAAACCGAGGCGTTCGAGAACCGAGGTATCACTGTACTACTGAAATTCATGACCACTGGCTTCAAGCAGACCTTTGTGCTGGCCAGCAAACCTAATGGATTGCCCTTGTCCACTCTCTTCTTCACACTCATAGATGACCATTTGCACCTACTCCTCTCTCCTCACACCTGTAACACTTCCTCACCTCCTTCCCCATCTTTACACTCAGCTCATAATTATGTTTCCTATATTACTGACAAAATACAACAACCAGAAGAAAATTTCCATTTTATACATATGTGTTTATCTGCCCCTCCTATTAGGATGTGACAGAAGGAACTCTGTATTTCCAGGACTTAGAATAGTGCCTGCCTCGTATTGTGTGTTCAACATGTTCTTTGGGTTTTAAGAATGAATAAAACAGATAAACAAGAAATATACAATCTTCCTAGAAGAGTCATGAAAAGGCTCGTGGTAAGTAATTCTAGTTAAGTAACCCAAGGCTGAATGAAAAGTAAATATTGTGTCCGACTTCAGTTCTCTAGCCCCAAATCATTTTGATATTATGGTCTTATCACAAAATCTCATCTGCTATTTCCCAAAAGTTACGTGGTCCCCTTTACCAAATTTAAAAGATTGAAAGATACAATTTTTTGCCTATGTTTCAAAGCATGCTTTCGTATACTGCTAGTTTTGTAGAGATAGTAGGATGATTACTTACTGGCAGAAACATTTTATCTCTATTGAATTCTTCATATTAAATGTATAGCTCACTTGAATAATAGAAAGTAACTCATATATAGCATTCACAGTTACTTTGTGCAATACCTTTTTCAGCAGTCTGTTGTGTATTTGAAAGGTGTGAAGTCTCAAAATAAGTCTATTCAAAATAAGCTTTTCCTCTACAAATTTTGGCACTGGAAAGAGAGAGTTTAATCCTTTCCACAATGGGGTCTGATTTTCCCTATAGATTCTAATTTACATGTCTATCAAGTACTTAGTCCAAAATCAAGTGGTCTGAGTTGTCTGGAGTTTATTCAAATGCCTTTTTTTATTTTTCTAAGAGTGGATTATGCATTTAAGAGATTGTGCCTGACAAAGAACTCTATGATTCTGGTGCACAAATGCAGAGATGAAAGTGGAGACAGAAAAACGGAGAGGCATTAATTTGAAAAATAAAATTCAACCCTTAATATTAACATCCATCCCTCAACGTCACTGTCAAATGCTGCCAACTTTCATTTTCCATAAATAGGCTTCAAAGTTACTCACACCACTATTAAGTTCAGCATATCAAAACTGTGAGAAAGTACTGTACTCATTTTGGCCAACATTAGCTGCCCATGACACCACGTAGTGTAAATGAGAGAAAACAACAGGTATCAGCAGTTAGCTTTAGGTGTTTCACAGATGTTCCTTATCAAGTTGATGAAGTTCCTCCCCATTCCTACTTCACTAAGAGATTTTATCATAAACGGGTGTTGGATTTTGTCAAATACTTTTTCTATGCAAAGTAATATGTTCATATTGTTTCTTCTTTAGCCTGTTGATACAGTGAATTATAATGATTGATTTTTAAATGTTGAATCAGCTTTGCATATGTGGAGTAAATCCCACTTGGTTCTTGTGTGTAATTCTTTCAGTTGTTAGATTCTATTTTGTTGAGGAGTTTTTTACATCTATATTCATGAGAAATACTGGCCTGTAACTTTTTTTTTTATCCTCACCTGAGGACATTTTTCTATTTTTTATTCAGTAGAGTGAGAGGGAGAAAGAGGAATAGAGAGAGAGAAACATCAACGTGAAAGGGACACATCGAGTGGCTGCCACACGCACGACCAACCAGGGCCGGGGACAAACTGCAGCCAAGGTACACGCCCTTAGCGGGAACCGAACCCGGGTCTCTGTGGACCACAGGCTGACGCTCTAACTGCTGAGCCAAACCGACCAGGGCTCACGCTTTCTTGTAATGTCTTTCTCTGAGTCTGGTATGACGGCAGTGCTGGCCTCATGGAATGAGAAGAGTTCTCTCTACTTGTCTTTTCTGAAAGAGACTGAATTTCACAATAAAACCGTCTGCACCAGGTGATTTCTTGTTTTGGAAGTTGATTAATTATTAATTCAATTTATTTAATAGCTATAAGACAGTTCAGGTTATTTCCCCTAGTGAGTTCTGGTAGTTTGTGACTTCAAAGTATTTGCCCATTTTAACTAAGTTAACAATTTGGTGGTAGTAGGTTGTTCAAAGCACTTTTTTAAAAACGCTTTAATGTCCAGGGATGTGTTGTAATGGACCTTTTTGAATTTCTGATATTGGTCATTTGTGTCTTCTCCATTTTTCTCGGTTAGCCTAGCTAGAGGCTATTAACTTGAATAATCTCTTCAAAAAATCAGCTTTGGGTTATAGTGATTTTCTCTAATGTTTTTCTGTTTTCTATTTCATTGATTTCTGCTCTAAGATTTATTTATTGCCTTCAGCTTGCTTTGGTTTAAATTGCTCTTCTTTGGCTTACTTTCCTAAGGTAGAAATTAAGGTTATTAATTTTATATCTTTTTTCTTTTCTAATATATGTATATAATGTTATATATTTCCCTCTAAGCACTGCTTTTGCTGCATCTCACATATTTTTATTTTCATTTAGTTCAAAATATTTTTCTAATTTACCTTAAGGCTTCTTCTTTGACCCATGGTCTATTTTTAAATGTATTAATTTCCAAACATTTGGGAATTTTTCTAGCTATCTTTTTGTTACTGTTTTCTAGCTTAATTACACTATTGTCTAAGAACATACTTTGTAAAATTTCTATTCTTTTAATTTTTTTTTTTTTTTTTTTTTTTTTTTTTTTTTTTGTGCATGCCTTTAGAGGGAACCGAACCCGGGACTCTCTGGTCCACAGGTCGATGCTCCAACCACTGAGCCAAACCGGCCAAGACTATTCTTTTTAATTTACCAAGGTGTGTTTTATGGCCAGAATGTGATCTACTTAGTGAATGTTCCATTTAAGCTTGAGAAGAATATGTATTCTGCTGCTACAGGATGAGTACTTTGAATTTTTAAACAAACAAATGAGCATTAATTAGAAGTTCATTCTATTAGAAGACTAGTATATGAAAAATAATATTTAAATGTATCCTAAACTTCTTAGACACTGGTTATCTGAGTAAAGGCAGAGTAACGGGTAGGACAGTTCCAAAAGTGAACGCTGTAGTCATTCTTCCAGGAGATGACTTAATACACAGATTTTCACAGTCACAAGTAACTGATCTATGTCATGCTTTAAATGGTTTGCACAATGTATAATTTTCCTCGCAATTTGATGCTAACCAGAAACTGAACAGGTATAGGAATATATATGTGATTTCACCTTCAGGAAATAAGTGTAATGCAATTTTTCTATAATTATGATTACAGTTGGAAAGATTAAAATTTTTATGCCATTTTTTTAGAGGTAAGGAAAGGCAATGTTTGCCAAATGTAAGAAGGAAGACATTTAATTTTTAATCTCCTAAGAAATTATTTAAAATATTTCATAAAACTTCTTCTAAGGGTATGTTAAATTCTTCGTTTATATGACACCAATTTCTAATTTAAACATAATTAGAGTAAAATGAGAGCAGAGAGGAGTAAGAGCACATGCCCCTGACTACGATTTTCTACAGCAGTCTCTCTGAATATTATAGTCAATAAGACTCCAATTAGAATGTTTTCATTTCTCAGCCACTGGCTTGATAACAAAATTGTCCTTTACATAATCCAGCAACATCTATCCAAGAGAATCTACAACAATCAAATTTTTAAAAGGTGAAAAGTAACCTCAAAAAATGAACTAATCAAATGCTAATCAATTTTTAAATCCAATCAACAACTAATCAGCTGTGATCCATCCCATAAGTTATATTTTTTTATTTCTAAAACTTACCACGTTAGTTGTTGAAACTCCCATTACATTGATTCTAAATTAATGTTCTATGAAATCTCTTCCTTATGACTTTTCTCAGTTCCTCTGATTACAATTGTTAAGTAACTATTATTTTAACTTTCTATTTCCATTCAAAACTACAATTAAAAAACTGATTTGGACACTAGCATGAATGTGAAGCAAAATAATGGTCACATAGTATAATTTTGGTTTTGAATTCAACCAATAATTTTGTTAAAATAATAATAATAATATATTTAAAAGACAGCCTAGCCCTAGCCAGTTTGGCTCAGTGGTTAGAGTGTTGGCCCAGGGACCGAAGGGTCACGGGTTTGATTCCCAGTCAAGGGCACATATCTGGGTTGCAGGTTGAAAACCCCAGCCCAAGTCAGGGTTGTGCGGGAGGCAACCACTTAATGTGTCTCTCTCACATCGATGTTTCTTTCTCTTTCTCTCTCCATTCCCCTCTCTCTAAAAATCAGTGGGAATAGATCCTCTGGTGAGGATTAACAACAACAAAATGACAGCCTAATTCTTAAGTGTAGTAATTCCCTTGACAATTACCTTTTGTTGAATCATCTTCTATCGGCTGTTTGAACAACGTGATATCCTTGAAAGTGCATAGGAACAAGACCACCTTTTCATGTTCATTTCTTATGGGTGCAATTTGCATGTAAAACCAAACAGGCGTTCCTGAAAGAGAAAGAAAGGACAACAGAATGTGACAAAGTCACAACAATGACTTCGTCTCCTGCCTCTCCTTTTCCTTCAGTTGCCAGCTTCTAGGCCAGGAACTAGCACCAACACAACACAACAGTATTTGAATTGCATAAAGAGATCAAAAAACCTTTAATTTTGTATCAACGACTAGTTGCTCAAAAATTAATAACCATATTTTTCAACCCAAAATATCACAATTTAAAAGTAAAGCCCAGGATGGCACTTCACAATGCAGGGGCACAAAGCCGCCTCACCACTGAGGCGACACCAGCATCACCTGCAGGCCTGGCTCCCCACACCCCGCGGCTCTCGCCTACTTCCTTGGATAGTCTCACCAAGTGTGACACTCCTACGTGCTGCTTCTCCTTGTCCCTTCGAGAAGTGTTTGCAATTGACTTCAATAGTAATACCTGATACTCTGGTAAGTATTCCTCTGGGAAGAACCTCTGAGAGGCTCAGACAGACTTATAAGATAGCTCTACGGTTTTGACACACCCACGTCAGACACTTGAAACCTGATGGACACAGAGCTCTACCTGAAGCTTTTAAAACAGCATCAAAGGGGGAAAAATGTCCCCAGCCCTGAGAACCTCAGGCGTCTCTATGAGCCACTGCTTCCCCCCACACCCCCACACCCCCACACCCCCACACCCCCCGCTCCCTCCCGCAGAACAGGAGGCTGGACTCTGTCCCCAGGTTCTTCAAACAATGGCTCCTGCAGACTCCAGAGGATAGTTTCAAAATGTTCAAAGCTTAGGTTTTGGACAAATCAGGAACTGGCACTACATCAAATAAATATTTGAAGACAAGAGAAATGCCTTCAAAGGAGTAATTATCCATTAAACGATAAAACACTGAAGGAATGTTCCATCACAGTCAAAAAGACATTTCCATCATATTCACCCTAAGCCACAGTGCAGCAAAGCCTCTCCAAATATTCTCCCTTAAAGACATGAAGGCCTCCGTCAGGTTTGGGGTGTGGGGAGTGAACTGTGCAGGTACAACTAGTCTCTAGCTGAGACTTGATAACCTGTTAGTGGCTACCAGTGAAAACCAAAGAAGAAGTGCCTCCAGCCCTAGCCGGTTTGGTTCAGCAGTTGGCACATCGGCCCGCGGACCAGAGAATCCCAGGTTCGGTTCCTGCTAGGGGCACCTACCAAAAAAAAAGAAGTGCCTCCATATCTGTGGCCCAAAAATAGCCATGTAATAATGTCACCACAAAGGGAATTTGCCACTTAGACAAGATAAGGTAACTTAACCACCAAGACCAAAAAATCAGAGAATCAGAGAAAGCAGATTTCCACGGGAATATTCAGTGTTGACGACCAGGTCCTTTACAACAGCAGGAGGCCCATGGAAGGACATGGTCCTTTCCAAAATGATTATAGGATGAACCAGTGATCTCAGAAACAATTACACCATCGTCCAGAGAGGCTTGTTCTTTGTTTTCCGCTTCTAACCTTACACAGTGCGTCCAGGAACAGTGAGCGATGTGCAAAGTATTACAAATCACCAGCCCCGACGCCAGAGATACATGGCCTAGGGCTGTTCCAACGCAGTGCGCTTGAGGAACCAGGTCGTAGACAGAGTGGCAAGGGCACTAAACCTAAGTTGTTTTCCAAGGTCCGTTAGAAACCTGAACGGACAGAGATGATGTTACAGCTCGCATCTTCCTATGAAAACAGCAACATTTCAAAGTGTGGCATAGAGTCAGGGCTGTTCTTTTCAACTGCTTTCGGAAAACATGGTGGACTGTTTCAAGTGGAGGCACAGGGTCATGCTTCCCCAGGGAGGCTGAGCGCGTGCTGACCGGCTGGCGCCATATGCACAGTCTGAGTCTGAGGTTGGGGCTTAAGCAGCGGGGCCAGCAGCTGCTGGAGATTCGAGGCGGTGCCCTGGCACTGACGACGGGGAGGGAGCCCAGCGGCCACAGTTCAGCTCTTTGTGCAGACAGAACGTGCCATTGCTCAGGTCTCAGAGCCCTGCTTCTTTCCAGCAGCGGACACGCCCTCTGCCAACCAGAGCGGTCGGCCTCGAGGACAGGTTGCGAAAGGAAGTGGCCCTCGTGACACGTGTTAAGTGGGATACCTCGCTCTCCTCCTGGCAAATGGTGTTTAACCTAATTCCTTAATGAAAGTAATGGGAGGAGTCGGCATTCAGCTTTCCCAGAACAACGTCTACAGACGCGTGACTTTTTCTACTGACATTTTTAAAAGTAACACAAATACACTCTTTTCAGCTGATGTTCAAAAGCCTTCAGCTAACTATTTACAAGGTATTTTAAAGCTGCTTTTAAGTATAATAGAACTCCATTGTAATACACAGATAATATCTTCCCTTCATATTAAATTAAGGGAAAAAAAGAACTCAGTGCAGATACCACACAGCAAGGAGAGAGTTTTAATTTATAGTGCTATGGGCTCTATCGCTTACTAGTTCTAAGCAGACATCTAAACACGCATAGATGTTTATCTGAAAAGAACCAGAGAGGCCTGAATAAAGGTCAGATAATTATTTCAATAAATTAAAATAAAGCAAACTATGTCACCATCTCCAAAGGAAACTTGTGGAAATGTAACATTCAAGTCAGATTTAAAGGATGTAAACAAACAGAATGTCCACTGAAGTATTTTTGAGAAATTCAGAAACTATGGACTCGGTTTTGATGTTTTAAACTCAGGCAAAGATTTGTTTATTCTGTTTAAATGTCAGAGTGAAATGACCTTAGTAATATGGAACATTCTTAAATTGTTTGCTAAACTTGAAATATATCTAAGTCATTTAGGGAATAAGAATACTATATGGAAATGAAAGAGGATTTGGGCATAAGAATCTACTATAAATTATCAATATTTATTTAGAACTGGTGGGAAAAAACAACAAACACCTACAGCCTGACTTTTCTCTTGCAGAGAACAGAGCGGGTCATTCTGAACGGATTGTTTTCTAGGTGGCAAGCCAACAGATGTTTGGGTATGACTTACTTCAAAGAGAAACACCTCTCAGCCTTGATTCTAAAATGAAAGATTAGATGTTAAGATATTCCGTAGGTAAAACCACTGAAGACTGATGCTCCCATTACCAAGCGCACTGCTGGGAAACAATAACTATGGTTGTTGTTATCCCTCTGATGGTCTCTTAATTTAAAAAACAAGAGAGAAACCTAAGTTCAATTCCAAATAGTCCATGAGAACAAATGTTTGCAGTAAAATGAATCATGCTCCACAAGATCCAACAGGCACTGAACATGAAACAAGTATTTCCTGGTGAAGTTAGAACATGTCGCAAATTGCATCAATTTCCACTAAAGATAATAATTGGCTTTGCTATCATGTACCATTAACACTAAATAAATTAGTCCATCTTGTGAAGTGACTGTTCATTTTAAAACAGAAAAGTCAATTTGCAAAAGCCACAAAAAGAAATAAAAGTAAGTAACTATTTAATGAAAATGAATCAGAAAGGAGTCTGGCTGATGAACATACTAGTTGGTTTTTTGTTTGGTTGGTTTCTTCCTCCATACCATGATGCCTTATGTGATTATATAATGGATAACTGACCACTCACAAATCTCATCCTGAGAACAGCTCAAAACAATCGAGATAAACATTCAAGATAAATATACCAGATGTAAAGGGCCCTGTTCTGAAATTTAAATAATAATAACTTTAAAAATAAAAATAAATAAATAAAAATAAAAGTAATGACTATTTGACGAGTTATACACAAAAGAGCCCTAGTTCATCAAAAGGCTATATTAGTAAAGGTTCACCCCGAGTAGATATTATATATTCACATGTTATCTATGTATGTATAGAAAGGTAATCAGACATATCCAGTGACACAAATCACCTTTTTATTTTACCATAAGAAGTGAATAAATTTATGTTATTTTTAGTTGCTGTCAAGTAACTATATAATTGTTAGCATGAGTGTTAATTATAAGACATTTTGCCACCACACACACACACACACACACACACAAATCACATTTAAAATATACACGCTTTTCTTTCATTTTTCAACAGGTTGCTTTTCATAGACAGGATCAATTATTAATTTTACAGTCTAATTTTACTTGCACCCCCTGTCCCTGGCAAGAGAAGGAACAAAGTTTTATATTCTTTCTACACTATAGCTCAGCTACCACTTACCAACACAGAATGTTAATAACAAGTTGACACACCTTAGTGATCAGTTAGATACCTACTGTTTTTCTTGTACAGAAGAACTTCAAAGCAGTTTGACTCGTAGTTGTCAAAAGTCTGCCTGACTTTCTCAATGGTCTTCTTGTCAGTCAATTCCCCATACATAAAACTGGAGGGAAAAACAATCCAGTTCAGTTTTGCATTGCTTTTCAAATGCTACATAGAATCATATAGTTGTCTTCGCTGATTTAGTCAAATTTAGTTACAAAATACAATCTTGCTCCCACAAAATGAACCAGAATATTTAAACCATGTTTTGATCGTAATTGTTAAACTTCTTGCTAAAAGCTAGCTTTAGAAATTATTTCAAACTTACAGAAAGAGAGCAAGAAGCAGGCCCTGCTTTACACAGTTCATATATGCAGGTTTCCATTACTACGGTGCAGTGAAATAACACCAGTTTCCCAACAGCGCCATTCAAATTTCAGTTACCATAGAATAGCAACTGGGAATTATTGCATAAAGTTGAAACTTTGCTGTTAGCTTTTGAGTCCACAAATCGCTGGTGAATAACAGATAACACATCACAATCAGTGGCAAATCACCTCACTTCAAAGCCCATAAGGATTGGTCACTGTGTATCTGTTACTCAGTTCACACACAGAAGCAAAGCATGTAGCTGTGTTGCCTCCTCGTTCCTCAGTGAAAAATCCGCATGACATTTTACAAATCATGGGAATCGAAAGCAGGAATTAGCCATCAAAGATTCAAATCCATCCAAAAAATGAAAATCATAATGCTGAACGTGAATTTGAGTACAACATAAATGAGATTATAGAAGAAATAAAAGACTGTGGGAATGTTGACGTTACTGCCATTGAGAGACTCTAGATATGCAGCCAGACAAACTGAGTGAAGGTGAACTTATCAACAACTTATAAATCAAGACAGTGATTGGTAGAAAGGATTAAGGTTTCCCGAGAAAGTGATGCAAATTTAAAAACAAACAACCAACATTTCACATTAAAGGAGCCCTATGAGATAGTTCACAATACTGACTATGGGAGAATAAAAGAATTAAAGTTGATTCAAACTTAGAAAGTACTATTAACATTTGCAAGGATATAGGAAACAATGTTCTCTGTATGTCCTAAGTTATATTACAAGAAAGCAAAAAAATGTTCAAATGACTCATGACGGTTTTTTACAAAGAAATGAAACACTTTAATTCTTAAGGTTTTGAATGTTCTGAATCATAATATACTAAATATTAGTTTTACAATTACTTTCATTTCCAGGTATTTATAACCAACAGTAAGAGTTTGTAATGTTTTGACATTGTTAAAGGTCACAGAGCAAGTATAATTTTTTCTAGTGAGTATTAAGATAGAATTACATGGTTTCAGCTTGCATGGTCTTTTTTATACTCCTATATACAATGAAATGTGAAGGTTTCATATTATATATATACTATATTGGCATTTTCATTATTTATGAGGATTTTTAAAGATTCATACAAGTATAGCTGGAGGAAAATTGAAGGAGACATACACTATTACTATGGCTAAAGGAACATATAAAACAGATTAAAGAGTGAACTTCTACATTCCATAAAAGTTTCCGATTATTTGAAATTTTCTGTCTTTCTAAAAGAAATTCACCAAAAGGCTGATAATCTACAAAACAGAACTCAGTCAAGGACTACAAGCCTCTAAAACTCTATTCCCAATGCTTTCACAATCAGCAGTCATTTGCCTGGTTTTACATACATAGTTCTACAATTTGTTATAATCATCTAGATCATTTCTTCCATCAGGAGGGAATCTGGGAGCTACTACTAGAGACCTTGAATCGGTTTTTTAAGACAGAAGTGTATCTTTATGATTGCTTTTGTTTCCGTTTCCAATGAGTTAGCCTGTTGGCCAGAGGCAAATCCAAGAGTGGTGGGCCTGAAGCTTAGACAATCATAGGGGCCTCTTTAAGGAAAGGAACACAAAATTATAAATAAAATTAGGCACAGAACCTTGAAAGACACCACTCAAGGGAGGGTCCCTGAAGGTTAAGATACATTATCCTCATGGAACAACTTCCCTTGGATAGATCAATCTATGAAATTTACAACTTGAAAAGCAGTTTTTCAGCAAGATCCATCCAAGACTAGCAGGATTTGATACCAATGCCGTATCACTAGAAATTAGAGTAACTCAGGCCAACCTTATGGTAACACTAACCTATGCAACTAGAATTCCAGAAACTAAGAAATGAAAGAAAGTGGATGAGATTGACCAAAGATTGCCCTAGCAATCTGCATCCTGCTTTTGCAATTACAATATTTCTACCTTTTGTTTAAAAAGATATTTTAAGCTGTTATCATAATAAAATAAACAAGAATCTCTGAATAAAATAACAGGCTCTTAACTCCTTAATCTCACAGCTAACCTAACACATGAAGTTACAGTACCTGCCCTGGCCAGTTTGGCTCAGCGGTTAGAGCGTCAGCCTGCGGTCCAGAGAGACACAGGTTCAGTTCCCACTAAGGGCACGTACTTCAGTTGCAGTTTGTCCCCGGCCCTGGTTGGTCGTGCGGGTGGCAGCCGCTCGATGTGTCCCTTCACGTCGATGTCTCTCTCTCTCTCTCCCTTCCTCTCTCTCCCTCCCCCTCTATCTGAACAAAAAATGGAAAAATATCCTCGGGTGAGGATAAAAAAAAAGAAGTTGCAGTACCTGTCTGTAAACTGGCACTGACTAGCCACTGTTCCTGTCTAAAGCCTGGATTTCAGCTCACGTGAGTCTTATGAAAATCTCTTTAATTATAATTAAATTAGAATACCTCAGTGAAAAAGCACAAAGTCCCACCCTCCAAAAATAAAACATGATATTTAATATTGTCACTAGTATTTTTTACAGACGGGTGCCATCAACCAGTTTTTTAAATGATTGATAATAGTAACTGACTAATGTTAATCTAAAAACTCTTTAATAAGACAAAAACATTAAAGACAAAAACATAAAATAAGATAAGGGTAATTAAGCTAACTAAATGTCTGTGGTCTTAAGAAAAAGAATTGAAAAACCATCTTACTACTCTTAACAAATGTCAGGGTTCTATAGTTCAATAAACTAAAACACAATATACACAACTGGCCAACAGAAAAATGTAAAAAAAGGGGGGCGGGGGAGAAAGCATCTTTAATGTAACAAGCAACAAGGATAATAATTCGGAAAAATAAACTCTAATAGGATTGAAAATTAAGTTACAATTTTTTTAAAGAGACAGTTTTTTAAATTGATGCAATAATACCACTTAAGATATACAACACAAGTTTGAATCAGCTAAAATTCTCAAGAGAAGCTGCACACCAGCAATGTTTCAAGTAAACTATAAAAATTCTATAATACAGGGTATCCTAAAAAAAACAACTATACCCAACTTTGAACAATTATAAAGCCAGTGTTTGTTAAAATACATTTCATTTTCAAAACTTAACAGAATATACATGTATACATGTTTTTTGGGACACCCTATATAGTCTTCATTATTTTAACCCTCCCAATGCTAAAATCTCCTATCCTAAAAATATAAAGGCATTTTAAGAAAAAAAAAAACCCACAGTATTACAATCTAAATGCTTTTTTAAAAATCTTTTATTTCTTGCATTGTTTCACTGGTAGTATAAACGACTTCCGAAAGGGCACTGTTTGTGTTATCGGAGGGGAGGTCTGGTGCCCAGAAGCCTCCTAGCTCTGCTGTAACACTGAACAGCCAGGATGTAGCAGAATCACTGCACTCGGGGCTGCAATTCACAGGCAAGGGGTGGAGCCTCTCTGACTCGGTTTCCTCATCAGTAAAATGATAATAATATTACTATAACTCACAGGGTGAGGATCAGAAGGATAATACACATGAGATTGAAAATTAGAATGTGTGACACACTGGTTCATTGATTACTGGATGTTTCTTATGGGCGGGTTGCTTCTCCACAATCCTAGGACAGGGTTGGGCCACCCTTGCTAATGGGCAGGGTCACTGAGTCTTAAAGGGAGACACTCATCACTTTGTGTATCTTCTTTCTTTGCTAAGCCATGAGGCTGAAGCATAAATTCACCCAGGGCCTGCTTCTGGATTATCTGGCCACTTCTCTTGCCACACAACTAAGTGGTGGTCAGATCTGGTCTTGAGAATAAGGGAGAAGTTATCCTCGGGCCTGCCCTAAGCCATACCCAGCTTGCCTAAGCAGTTGGCGGTACATCTTTCATGCATATTCTGCCCCAGGAAACCTCTGGGGATAGGTGACTTTGGTTCATAGCAGGATTTACTTCCTATTCTTGGATGCCTTGCTCCACCATCAAAATCTCACAAACAAGCCTCAGCATGATACCTCACAGTAAGGATGACTATAATATTGATAGACTTTCAAGGGACTAAGGAACCTTCCAAACTAAAAAAAAAAAAAAGAAACAAAAATGTATAACCTAATCATGAGTTCCACCATCCACCTCAATCTGCTCACAGTCAAACAATGTTCCCAAACAAAAACACCGCATCCAGTTACCGCTAGAAAAGAATGTTATCTACAGACTGTAGTCCCCAGACTACCAAATGCTTCACCACGGAAACCACACAGACGGACTTAGTGCAGTTAGCTGGTAAATGTGTCCTGAACCCAGGACCAGCCACACAGAAAAATCACCACTGAGTTCCTGGGAGGGTGGGCTGAGATCTGTACTCCAAGGATCAAAAAGGAAGCTGAGAGGGAGAGTAAAAAGAGAATGGAGAAGCAAATAAGAAAACAGCTTTCAAACCTAAAAGTGGTAATTTGGGAATAAATCAAAGTATTACTTTATACAGTAGATTGTAACGAAAAGGTTTCACAACCCGTTCATTTGGATGGGCTTGAATGGATTCGGATAGAGTCATAAAGAGTAAGCCTGTGACATGCAATTAGGGGACTCTAGGGACAGCAGTGGACACTGCTGACCCCGAGAGCGGGAACATCACGAAGGCACCTCTGCTCTCCACTACTGTCCCTCAGTGCCACTGTGCACAGCAGAGCCCACAGCCAAATGGAACCAGACTGACTGACATCCATCATGTGGAGTGTGGTCTTGTTGGCTGCGATAATCTTGTGTTAATAAAACTACTCGAGAAATACGTCCAACAAAGTGTCT